TGTTAGGCCAGTTTGACTAGAGAAACAAATCCAGTGACACGTGTGTAAGAAAGAGCTTCATATCAAAACACTTTATACATCAGGAAAACATCCCAGCCCAGGCCAACTCAAGTCCATAAGTCTGGTACTGGTCTATAAATCCCTTTTCAGACTTATGCAGCCACATGCAATGATGCAGACTTCAGGAACATCACAGGCCAGGGGGTGCAGTCTTGTGGATCCAATGGCGGTGGGCACATCACAGGGCTCTGGCAGGTCTCAGCATGGCTCGGCAATAAGAAGGTGAAGGCAGAGAGAGCGGTACCAGCCACCAGAGAGCCATGTTTCTCAGTCACACCTCCAAAGGAGGCCGTCAAACTACGACCTGATTGGCAGACGAAAGACCACCCATATCGTCTTACCATGCTGGAACAAAAAAACCTAAGTAGATTAGCACCTAACAACAGATGAGCACTGTTTTATTTGTTCTGTGCCTTGGTTCTCTGAAGCCATAGGGTACATTTTGCTGTGTTTTTCTTTGCCTGGCAGAGCAGAGTGCACATGGTAGGTATTAGGAATCAGACGTTGACATGGGTTTGTACATATGTAACTGGTGATCTGTGTGTATTCATAAAAAAATAATGGGTGGAGACCCCATTAATCGGTAGATACAAAAATCTGAAAGAGAGTACTTGACAAGAGAAGGAAATAAATATATGCTGTGTTTTCCATTTTAGTTATTTATCATTCAAATACAAATTTTCCTTTCTCTACCTTCAAGACAGCTGCTTTTACTGAAGACAATAATTGTCCTAGATTAGAAAGGAAATAGGAAACCAGTGTATCTCCAAATGTACAGCCCCACCGCCAGTGTGCTGCCTCTTCAAGAGGGAGGTGTGCTCCATACTCACAGAGCAATGAGGACATGGGTGCGCGTGATAACCAAGGGGGAGTGAGAGCGAGCGCGATGTTCTTTATGTGAGTAAAGCCTCGAACTAGCACATATACAAAGAACTTTACTGGGGTAACTTCAGCTTGAAGGCCAGGTATTAAGATTTTATTCATGAGAGCATCTGTGTGTACAGACTGTGACCACAGAAAAGAGGGGGGCTTTTCACATTGTTCATTATAGGGTTTATAAAGAGGGTTTGGGGGAAGATATGGAAAGCTCGTTGGACCATTTTAGATTTCGATAATGGACCCTGTCTTAGTGATCTCGTGCTGCTATACCAGAAATACCCTAAGGGGATGCCTTTGCCAAACAGATGTGGTCCCTTACAGCTTAGGAGGAGAAACGGCTCAAAGCCGTGAAGGCTTTCTCTCTCTGTTTGCTCTGCAGGAAGGTCCTTGTGTCTTTCCAAGCCCGGTAGAGATAGCCATGTGTCTTGGCAGCACTCCTCCCCTGGTTACTAGGAGGCTTTTCAGTGCAAAGGGCACACTCCGCTCCTGGTTCTTCCTTCTTGGTGGTAATCAGATCCCTCTTTCTCGGCTCAACACTTCTCCTGTTATCGCTGATGTAGGCCACATCAGAGGAAAATTCCCTTTATATCATATTGGGGCTGTCATATGAGTTAGACTCAGAGTATTATATCTATTCTAGCCCTGATTAATTCTCCTTAGCAGAACCACATAATGCATTCTTATCTCTAGGCGGAGATTAGAATTTCCAGCAGATAGGACAATGAAATGGAGGCCAGCCCTACAAAGCTGGCAGACTCTCTCCCAGTGTGTAACAACTACACCCCAGGGCTCCTCGCGTAGCAGAGTACTCCCTCCAATAGGGAATTAAGGCCACAGGCCTGGTCTAGAATTCTAGTACATCACATGAGGAATTATGAATTGACTAGATCTCGGGGAGAAAGAGGAGGCAATCTGCTCTGGTACAGATGGACAGTCCCAGAACCCCTGTTAGGATTGCCGTGAGTCAGAGTTGACTTAATGACAGCGGAGTAGGTTTGGTTGATGTGATATTTGCAGTAAAAAGAAAAACAAGATTTGAGACTGTTTATGGCCAACCAAATACTTGTAGGATTTAGTTCTTTGGTTTGGAGGTTTAGGGTCAGGGTTTTATTGGCTTAATGATGTGTTTGGTATTCCTCGTCGATGTTCCGGTTGGTTGCATAGTGCATGGGATCATAAAAGATTTCATCCAAGATACAGCAACTGATGGCTGTTCACCGGGCACTCGAAAAAGGAGTCAGGACTAGCAGGACGATGTGGAATGTGGGCTAATTTCCTTCATGAGTAACTGCCTCTCTGTGACTAGAAGAACTTGATGGTGCCCAAATAACCACTAATGAATATTTTGTTCAAAATGGGGAAAACACAACAGAGTTCATAGTTCCCATGGCCACGAGACTTCATGGAGTCTTGGAGAGGTGGATCAGCCCCTGAAACTATTGCCGTGAGAAAATCTGTGCAGAAATAACTTAAAACTGAAAAGGAATTTATCTAGTAAAAAGATATGTCTTACAAATCCCTGGAAGTTTATTGATTGGCTTCTTATCTCACCTGAAGGCAGCTGTAAAGAAAGAGAGCCGCAGTACCTGACACAGTAACCTCAGAGTAACAGAGGACACGCAGACTGCCTGTCTTGCCACCAGAGGGCACCAGAAGAAACCAATTTTTATCTTAATTTGTAGCCCAGACGAGTTCTGAGTGGCGATACTGGGAGGGTGGGATGGAAAGGGGGAACTGATTACAAGGGTCTCTACGTGTGACCTCCTCCGTGGGGGACGGACAACAGAAAAGTGGGTTAAGGGAGACATTGGACAGAGCAAGATATGACAAAATGATAATTTATAAATTATCAAGGGTTCAGGAGGGAGGGGGGAGCAAGGAGGGAGGGAGGGGGGAAATGAGCTGATGCCAGGGGCTTAAGTGGAGAGCAAATGTTTTTAGAATGATGAGGGCAACGAATGTACAAATGTGCTTTACACAATTGATGTATGTATGGATTGTGATAAGAGTTGTATGAGCGCCTAATAAAACGATTAAAAAACAAACATGTTTATCTAAATAAAGTGCTCTACATGCTGTTGGCTTTTAATTGTGCCGATGAGTACTGTCTCGCCTTGTAAGAAACTGAACATGGAATTTACTTTGAGCCTGTTGAAATCATAGGTTCTTTGCGCTATCCTGTTTCTACCCGCATTGTCTGCCAGTACTGGAATAGAGCTTGCTGTTCCCGCAACCAGAGGAAGTAAATTAAAACATGAAGAAAAAGAAAAACAAAAACCCAGAAATAATTCTTTCCTTCTTTTCAACAAATAAAATATGTAAAGCTATATAAAGTCCCCTCTAAGCAGTTAGAAGAAAAAAGCTATGTCTTAGAGTATGAGTTTGTATAAGAACTGTTTCTGTATGGGATCAAATTGATAACAGTCATGTGGAAGGTTAGGCGGGAAGCTAGGGGGCAGTGAGTTGGTGTGAACGGGCTCGCGACCCAGAAAAGGAGCGTAACAAGGCTGCCCACTCTAGTCAGTGTCCCTGAATTGCACGTGTAGAAGCTGTCACGTTGCTATCTGTTGGGCATAGTCTCAACAATAACAGCCACAAAATAAATAAAACTTAGAAACCCCTCCTACCGGAAGAAAAGTTTATGTTCACAGCGATTGTAACAAGTAATTCTGGGTTGGAACGGACTTGCTGGCAGTGAGTCCGGTTTTAGAAGTAAGGCTGGTGTTCCCTGGTGGTCAGTGGAATCGGGCAGCGGAGCATTGGTTGTAAGGGTGGAGTAGGCCTGTGCAGCGTCTCCTTCGGGTGTGTGAAGGCGCTTGCTCTGTATCGGAACCAACTCGGCCCCCAACACCAACGTTCAAATATGATTTTGAGATGATGGTGTGACCCAAAGTGAAGATGATTTTTAACTAAATATTTTTTTCTGTTAAATTGTATACTTTATGATATCATTTCAGGCAAATCATGAATCAGCAAATATTTAATTTGGTTCTTTTTCTTTTGTTACCTAGAGACAAGATGAATACTGATCAGGTTACCCTGGTGGGCCAGGTATTTGAATCCTATGTGTCGGAATACCATAAGAATGATATCCTTCAAATCTTGAAGGAAAAAGATGAAGATGCTCATTACCCAGTGGTGGTTAATGCCATGACCCTTTTTGAAACCAACATGGAAATTGGGGAATATTTCAACGTGTTCCCCAATGAGGTGCTGACTGTTTTTGACAGTGCATTGCGAAGGTCTGCCTTGTCGATACTTCAGTCCCTTTCTCAGCCTGAGGATGTCTCCATGAAGCAAAATCTTCATGCTAGGATATCAGGTGGGTCACTTAAGAATGGTACTGCCATGTTACTCTAGGAAAGTTGAGAGCTCAAAGGGGAGCTTTAGGAAGAGAAGTTGAGGCCAGTGTGTGATGGAAATGCCCAAGCAGAATGACACATTTGACATCTCAGAGGATAGAAATGATCTGGAGTTAGGGAAATCACACCCCTATCTGGGACTCTAGGGAAGGCATTTTACTCAAGATGTCTGTGGTTCACTCTCTTAGAAGCATAAGATACTCAAAATATGCGTTTAATTTCTCTTTAAGATTCTCTGCTTCGTACTTTGTCTTGTAGAATTTCTGTTAGCCTAAGGTTGATTGAAGGAGCCCTCATGGCGTAGTGCTTACGCATTGGGCTGCGATCCACAAGGTCAACAGTTTGAAACCATCAGCTGTTCTTCAGGAGAAAATGGGTCTTTCTACTCCGGTACAAAGTTAGAGTCTCACCCTGCCCTGTGGGGTCGCTGTGAGCCGGCCTCGGCTCGATTCAGTGAGCTGAATTTTGGTAAGGTGTATTTGATATTCCCAGTGGTTTTGATGAGAGGCTCAACTAGACCTACACCTTTACCTTCATATTTACCGAAGTGGATTGGAAAGAGAAAATGGCATGCATAGGCTGGTTCTCAAACAGTGGTGGACATCATCAGCCTCCCCAGGAGGGCTTGTGGAGACACCGATGGCTGGGCTCCACTCCCAGAGCTTTGATTGAGTAGGTGTAGGGCAAGGCCCAACAGCCTGCATTTCTAACTGCTCTCAGGTGATGATCGTGGCACAGGAGCCCAGAGCCACGCTTTGAGAACCAGTGCCCTCTCCGAGTCCTAAAGTCAGGCACTAAGGCGTCATTAGTGCTGAGCTGTCAGATCGGTACCATTCACGGATAAAAGAGCAGAACAATTTTCAAAATGGCTCTTTCAGGAATGTTACCGCCTTTGCCAGCCCAGGTCGAAGGTTCTCAAACTAGTGTGGATCCTGCACCTGCAGTATCAGCATCACCAGGGAGCTGCTAGAAATGTTGGCATACTGCACAGGTGTGTAGTCTTGCATGGGTCTTTATTGACTCGGTGGCCCCTAAGGATGGCAGCAGCGGCAGCCTGCCACTGTGTATCCGTGTGCTCTGTGATGCTCGGCTGAGCTGTCCCGTTTGCGCGCATGTCAGTTGGTGCACTACCCCGCACTTAGGATGGCGCTCTTGCCAGAGGGGGAACTTGAGGGCAGTGTTGGGGTGAGTGGAGTCGGGAGAGTTCCTTGGACCACGTGGAGTGTTTAAGGAAAGGCACAGAGGTGCGAAGCTCCTGGATCTACACTAGTTTTCAAACTAAGTATCTCAAGTATTTAGTGACTGGCCTGGGAGACATGAGGCCAGAGGTAGTAACGGGGAGGCTAGCGAGGGAGGAAAAGTCAGTTCTCCCTTCTTTTTGCAGTCACTGCTTCTCTCCTTGCCCCAAAGGGCATTTTGCAGGGGCCTGGAGGGGGCTCAAGAAGTGGCCCTGCCCTCCAGGCATGAAGTAGTTAATGGACACTGAAAAGCAGTATGTGTGATTGAGGTCCAAATTGAGTGGCCCAGGCAGTAAGTGCTTGTGAAAGCTGCTGTCATGGCAGTCTGGGCTGAGGAGGTGGTGAGACGTTGGGGAATTCCTACCCAGTGAATAAGAGCTGGGGCAGGATTTAATGACTCTTCCCCAAAGGCCCCTTTTAATGGTTTTATTCCCAGAAGTGATGCTGGCTTCATCAGTAGAACTGGGGACTGAGTATTTAAAGGTGTGCGACTTCTGGGTTCTGTTGCCGGGTCTCTCCTGGAGAATGTTGATGTCGATGCGGCACTAACCCGCACCCTGAGGTCAGTGAGTATAAAAGAAGCCACCCACGTAGGGACACGGGTCAGGCTGCGCTGTGAAGTTAGTCACCCAGTCAAGTCAACACGCTGGGAGAGGATGTGCTAGCAGGGGTGACCACGGATCAGTCCTGACACATAGGTTGGAGTATTCTCTCTCAGGCCTCATTTTGTAAGAGGGAAATAGCCATCGTTAAACGCTTGTGTCCACTTTTCTCGCCCAGACACCAAGCTTTTCACCGCCAACCTGAGATGATCTGTTTCTTTGGTGTCCCTTCTGTCCATCACACCGAAACTACCCTCACCATTGTTAGCAATGACTGCCTCATGGCCAAACTGGGGGCACTTTTCGCCATTCCTACTGCTTTATTTCTCTGGAGGGATTGCTACTATTCAGTTCGTCAATTTTATGGAATCCCAGTGTTGGTCCCATTCACCATGCTCTTTTGCCTTTTCGTTCCTCGATTCCAACACATGCAATGCACACGCACACGTAGACACATGCACACTGTATGGGCCTGTTCTATGAGACGAAGGCAGTGAGATTTTGGGGTTGTAGGTGTTGGGTTCTCAGGGCTCAGATAGGGCCCCCTTCTCTTGGCTCCTGCTTCCTCTTCTGTGGGGTGGCTCTGTCCTGACCCTCTGTGTCAGCTCCCACCTATACAGCAACAAGGGTAAATTTTTATATATTTGTATCCAGAACTTGTCTCATAAGCTCTGTCTCTAAATACCTTATTATCTGCCAGGTCTATCTCAGACTAGATACGTTCTTGGAAACGTGCTATTCTCAGCATCCAGTTGTTCCAAGTCCTACTGTAGTTTTCTCGCGTGGGAAGTCCCTCGTTTCTTGGCTTCGCGCGAGAAAGAATTCGTGCCGAAGCCTGATCACTTTGTGATCCCAGTGGGTTTTTATGGACGGAAGAAGTTTCAGGTTTGACAGTCACTGACCACGGGCAACCTCGTGGGACTGCACACCCACACGTGGTCACCTGAGACCAGGGAGACTGTGACATGGCTGAGCGGCACAGGACAGAGCCAAAGGGTGAAGAAGAGCAGCAGCCTCGTGGTCTCAGAGTATCTGAGGCCTCTGGCTGGGAGGCGTGGTCGAAGGTATTGGTTGACCCCATTAGCTGAATGAAGCCCACCTGGGCCTAGTTTGGGCCGCCTAGGTGTACCACCCACCTGGCTGGGGCTGGGGCTGGGGTGGGGTGGCAGACTGAATTTGGGGCATGCCCAGCAGCCCTTATAGCTGGCTGAGGGCTCACCTGTAGGGGGCCTTCAGGCATGGAGAGGGGACAATCCCCCCGTCCCTGCCTCGTGCTACCTAACACGCACAGCTCTGTAGGCGGAGTAGATGCTCCATTGGGCTTCTGAGACTATTGTACCCAATTCACACATTTTTAACCAAAATTTATTTTCAAGCCGAAAATAGCAAACAGCTACCTATATGCAATTGTGTAAAAGTTTATCAGTTATGCATGAGACTTTACTCACTGGAAATCCAAGGAGTTTACGAAATGGGACCTGTGTGTCTTGGCAGAGTCTGCAGTTGAGCAGGAACCCGGAGTAGCACGTTCTCTTTTTCAGTTTCGTGATGTTAACTCAAGCCCACTCCCTTTGAGTGGGTTCCGACTCACGGGCACCCTATAGGACAGAGCGCAACTGCTCCTTAGGTTTCCAAAACTTCAGTCTTTACCGGAGCAAGCAGCCTAATTCTTTTGAGGAACAGCTGGTGGGTTTAATCACCAACCTAGTGCTTCCCAGTCCGCCACCAGTATTGGGAGCCTAGGAAAAGGAGCCGTAGACACTACTGCTGGCTATGCTGACCTGCTTACCTGCTCCATGGTGTACCGTAGATGCAGGAGAGTCCTGTCTGACGCACAGAGAGTGAGCGTTCAAGGCGACACCAGACTAAGGTTCCTGGCACCTTAAGCATTCAGTTCATCTAACTGATGGGGTTTTGTTGTTGATAAGTTCCACGCTTCTCACATTACCTTCTGATGAATTTCATCTGGTTTCCTGCATAGATGTACTGACAGGGTGAACACGTGCTGGCATAAAAGCTGAAAGGATAATCATATCTAGAATGGTTCTGTTTCTTGACTTAAATTTTTTTTATTATAAATTAGGTGAATATTTACAGAAATAAATCCATTTTCTATTAAACAATCCACATACATTTTGTTTGATGCATGAAGTTATTGTGCATGAACTTGATAAATCTGATAGCTACAGCTGCATAGTGAAGTGATCACTTACCAGGTTTTGAATCATCAAATTCTAAGGACAAGAAATGACATGCTACCTGAAACAGCTTACTGGCTTAGCAAGTGCTGCCCTGTAAACCTGTTTAAAACAAAAACAGAAACAAATTTACTGCTATCAAGTTGGTTCCAACTCATGGCAACTCCACAGGACAGAAGTTCTGCCTCTGTGGGTTCCTGAGACGGTCGCTTTATGGTGGTAGCTGGCTGCGATGATCAGAAACTGACACCTGTTCAGAAACATGCTTTTGACCATCACAGCCAGCATCTTTATGCTTCCGTGTCACAGCCAAATTTAAGAAAGAAGGCTTTTCCAAACATAAACTTCCTTTACATTTTGCATCTCTCTGGTGCCTAGTTTCTCATTTTCTTCTTCTTCTTCTTGTTTGTTTTAAATTGTGAAATATCCCAAATTACCAAGGGATACAGTGATGCATGTCAGGAGTAAACCTCTAGATTTGTGCTTCCCAAAGTAGGTAATACTGCCCCCTGGGGGCACTAGGACAATCCAGGTGGGCCGCAAAAGCAGACAGATTTACACTTTATCCTGTGTTATGGACATTAGTACAAACATTTTATTTGCCAGGGGCGTATTGAGCAATTTTTTTCTTCTGAAAGGAGGTTGTAGGCCAAATAAGTTTGAGAACCGTTGGTCTAGACAGCTCAAGGCTTGAAAGTACTGTGCAAGTTATCCATGGATAACCCGACCCTAACTAAAACAATAAGGAGCCTTCTTGGTGGTTCAGGCAGAGTCAGGGACTGCTTTTAGGTGGCGTGAGTAGCAATATGTTCTTTGTTGGATGTGGGTACAATCTGGGTATTTAAATCATAGGAAGGGAGCCCTCTTTCCATCGGATAGAACACACAAATCTGTCCTGGAAGACGTACAGCCAGAAGCAAGGATGGAGAGACTCTGTCTCACATACTTGGGGCATGAAAGGGACTTCATCATGCATGGTAAAGTAGAGCAGCAGTAAGAAAGAGGACCCTGGACAAGCCAGGTTGGCACAGTGGCTGCAGCGCTGGCCTCTTCCCTGGACTTGTGCTCCCCCAGGGAACGTGAGAAAGACGCTGATGGCGTCCAGTCCCGAGGTGTAAGTGATGTGATCTTTGCATTTTTTTTCTTCCGTCAGGGTTGCCCATCTGCCCCGAGCTGGTGAGGGAGCACATCCCTAAGACCAAGGATGTGGGGCACTTTTTGTCTGTCACAGGGACCGTGATTCGAACAAGCCTCGTGAAGGTGCTGGAGTTTGAACGGGACTACATGTGTAACAAATGCAAGCATGTCTTTGTGGTCAAGGCTGACTTTGAGCAGTATTACACCTTCTGCAGGCCATCCTCCTGCCCCAGCCTGGAGGGCTGTGACTCCGCTAAGTTCACTTGCCTCTCGGGCGTGTCTTCTTCTCCAGCTGTGTGCAGAGATTATCAGGAAATCAAGATCCAGGAACAGGTAAAAGATCACCTTCAGGAGAATAAACTGAATGTGAAGGAAAGCCAAGTGGTTATCAGCAGGGGGTCAATTACTAAGATTGGAGAACGCATGGTTAATTACATATGGAATTTGTGCCATTACTTTGTGGAAGACTGATCTTCAGATCACAGCACCTATATCCAAGTACATTTTTTGAAAGCCATGAAATAATCATTAATATTATTTTGGTAAGACTTTACACAGCCATATACCACTTAAATAATCTTCTTAAGTGAAACATTGACAAGCAGGATGTGGAGTGACTTAATCATGTTAAAATTAAAGAAGTGAATATTTAAGAAGTCCACATTAGCTACTCATAAGTGTTATTGCTGCTGTACCAACTCTTAGCAATCACTGGGGCTACGCCTGGCTTTCCTTTCCTTACAGTTTAAATGCAAAGGCTTATTCTCTCATCTAGAACAAATAGAAGAAATGGTAAAATGTAGGCTTCTCCATGTCAAGCCCTCAAGTATCTCTACTGTTGTTATCATATGGCTTCTCTTCTAGGGATGTCTGTGGTCCAGGAGGGTAGCTACAACTCCATCATACTGGGATTCTAGACAGAACAAGAGCAAGGTGGAATGGCCAGAAGAGCATGCTGCCCAACCAAACTTTCATGTCTCCCTAGAAGTCCCTAAAAACTAGTCAGCTTGGGTGTTCATTGGCCAGAACTTAGTCCTATGACCATCCATTAGATGCAAGGAGCTCAGGGGATGCACTGGCAAGGTCAGCAGGTCAAAACCACCAGCTGTTCTGAAGGAGGAAGGTGAGGGTTTCTATTCCTAAAAAGCGTTATAGTCTTGGCAACTGACAGGCACCATTCTATCTTGTCCTAAAGAGTTGACTCTTGTCGCAGTGTTTGGAGTTTTAGTAGATATAAGGAAACCTGGGAAATGTAGTCTTTTTTGTGAAGACCAGGGTCCTGCTACTAAGGAATACTCAAAGGAACTCAGTGATTTGTCCCAAACGGTGACTAGTGATCAGAAGAGAATGCCTCTTCTTTCCAGGTAAGTGATTTGAGTGGTAGTAGCAGTGGTGGTGGTTCTCTTTCGACAGTCCACCAAGCAGATAGGTTTTCTTTAGAGATAGTTTTCACACTGGTGATTTTTGTTCCCTCTAGTGATTTACAAAATAGTATGATTTTCCAGAAAATTCTTTATGCCCCCCAATCATAATTAAATTTGATAAATTCAGAGAAATAGATGCTTTATTTTCAACAACTGCTCGTCTTCTAAATATTTAATCAATTTGTATGTGATATCCTTAGTAATCTGCTTTTTCTTGCTAGGTCCAAAGGCTATCTGTTGGAAGTATTCCACGATCCATGAAGGTTATCTTGGAGGATGATTTAGTGGACAGCTGCAAATCTGGTAAGAATGAACTTTCATTAGCTTGTATATAAAATCCTAAAAAGAAAGAAAGAAAATCCTGAACTGTAAGAGCCCCCAATAAGATGTTTTTTGTTTTTTTTAAAGAAGAAAATCCTAAAATACTGTTTAGGAAGAGCCCACTTTTATTTTCCCAAGATCATGGGCAAGGGCATGTGGAAGGATAATTGCTGGCCTCTAGGACAGATATTGTCAAGGAGGTGAGGGAAGATAAAAGTCAGTAGAGCTGAGCTGAAGCCTAAAGATCTAGTCCAGGTGCTGGTTCTACTGATGAAGAACTTGGCTTGCCTGATGCCATTGAGTGAATTAAGTGGCAGTACTGGACATAACACAAAGCCGATGAGTTCACATGTGAGATTTCCTTTAATACACCATAGCTCAGCAGCAGTGACTTTAAAATGATCATGGATTTAGCAGGCAAGCATATGAAATGAATCAGAGGATGTGCCTGTCTAAGGCTATTGGTTTCTTCATGGGGTGTGGGGTATCAGCCCCGACAACTGAATGGGTCCAAGAGGCAATTGTGTAATTGAAGGGTAAATTAAAAGAGACATCAGACAAAACAAAGCATGCAAGGGCTCACCTCTGCTGCTATGACTTCAGGAGCCAGGTTCATGCAGAGAGAGAGAATATATTTCCCAACACCAAAATGTATACTCGGGGTATGCAATCCCCTTCATTTCAGTTAACCGCATACATAACAAAGTGGGCTGTTCTCTAACCCTAAAGATACCCGAGTTCATTGGAGGAGTAACCAGTGCTGGGGACAGGGACAGAACCTAGAGAGCAATAGCGCATGTTTGCTCCTATCTGTTAAAGCTGCCGGCTACATGGTAATCAGCCATGTACTTGTGAGAGGTAACTTTAAGGCAGCACTATTATGGGAGGATACAGTGGGGAACAATATTAATTATGAGAATGTGATTGGCACTCATCTCCAACTCACAAGGGTGAAGACCTCCCTCCACTCCAGAAACCCAGCCTGCCAGACTTCTTAAGAGTAAAAAGGACTCATCCATCTACACTGTCTTCCCATTCTGTTTCCCACAGAGGGGTCTGGTAGGAAGATGCTCTGCACTGTGACACTCTGCTGTGGTCTGCTGACCTGATCTCAGTGTGTTCTGTCACACAGACATTGCGTTGTAATTACAGAAGAGGCTGTGAGCTTCACTGGGTGGAAGCTACAGGGAGGCTGATTGTGTCTCAGAACCTAATAATCAGAGGTGTCCCACCACGGGCTTTAGGTGAGGATGAGTTCTTTTGCATGAAGACAGTTGAGGAGAGGCTGTGCAGCACCTCAGCAGGGCTTTGGGTCTCACGATGGCAGTTGGTCCAGGTAATTTATAATGATCAGGGAAATGTAAGGCTCGCTGAGGTTAGTCTAGAAATCTGAGGGTTCCAGAGCCTAATTGTTACATTACTCTGAGTTAAATGCTTTGATCTTTAGGTCTATCAGACTAGGCCTGAATCACCTTTGCCCCCTCTCATCCCCTTGTCCTCTCCACATTGGAGTGTCTGGGAAGAGAGGAAAATTTAGAGTACCGGCAGGAAGGTGAGGGATAGTAACAGCCCATGTCTATAGAATAAAAATGCTGTGAACTGAATTATGAAATTATTGAAGAGATGATTTATATATAATCTGGCATGTTCTTGAAATGTTTGTGTTGGGGATAGCTACATATGAAATGCAAAAAGAAAAAAAATGTGAGTGTATTCTTCAACTATTGACAATAGGTCTGTAAAATGTGCAAGGCACTAGTCAGCTGAGGGTGGACATCTCAGAGAAGCAGACGGTCAACAGTTTTTGGCCTCAAAGTAGGAATCTGAATGCTTAATGAAAAACTATCCTAGTCCAAATACGTACTATTGCCCGTTTCAACACAGGTACGCCACCTACCCTTCTTTTCCCTCACTGCTTCCTTATAGAACTGAAAGGCACTGAGGACTCATGCGTCTTTTAAATTATCAAGTGTCAGACCCGCGGAGGATTGCTTACGAGCTGCAGTTTTCATAAGCATCCCGGCCACTACCACGTCCAGCCTGAAAAAAAGGAGGGAAACACATCCCCTAAAGGCAGCGCCTTCCGCTTCCCTCGCACACACTCCTGGGCCTTCTCATTTAAGTTCTAAAGGGGCAAAGGTTATGCAATTTACATATTTTGATTCCTACAGAGATGTGTAGCCTATGTAAGTAAATTATATAATAGCACAGGCTAGGATGTGTCCCTGGCATAAGTCTCATCTCTTAGTCTTAAGTCCCAGTTATACCCTATTGGACAGAGCTCAAACGCTTCATTTCTCCAAAGGCCATCATTTTCCTCTTTCAGTGCTAAGCTTCTCCACATATATTATAAAATATTTCCTAAGCCGACTTTTCATTAAAATGATATGCAAGCGCTCTATGGAACCAAAGAGAATATAGTTCCATATCCAGAGCCAAGAGCGATTCATTAAAAGACGACCTTCCCCACCCAAGAATCACTAGCCCAGAATGTGAAAATCATGCCAAATATTTTAGCAGTGTGCAGCTTTCTCAGTGGTATTCTAAGGAATTAACACCTTTGATTATGGTGTGCATAATGGATGAGGACATATGAGCATGTTCAACTATGCTCACCTAGGACTTGGGATTTTAACCAGAATTTGTAATAGCTCAGTCAGCACAGTAGTGTTTATATGAGCTTGGCCTTAACATAATAATGTTCACAGAGATTAGGATATTTTCATACAGTTCATCTAAACTACATCCATTTTGTACTGAAAAAGATTCTTAAGCTTTTTTTTCTCTCCTAAGTGTCTCTAATATTAAGCAGTTGTCAACAGGTGCTTTTTACATTTTTTCCTCTTGGCTACAAATATTTGTAGGACTCAGAAGATATAGCTGACATATAACTTGGCTCATTAGGAAAAGAATGGCAGTGAATAAATATTAACAAATGTAGTAAGTAAATAAGATTCGTGCCAGTCATCTGAAGAGTGTGCCTTTTCCTGACACCAAATTGATTGTCTGCAATTCCCACATCTCTAATCGGGAACTAAATGTTTAGCGATTCTCAGACTGAACACTTCATCCAGTGTAAGGACAATGAATAAATAACCTCAGTGAGGGTAATTACTGGGCATGAGCATGTGACAGACTAGGAAAAGACAAGTTTTCAGCTATACAGGCAACATTGTGTGGTCTTCTTGGCTTCAGATGGTTTTCTGGGTGCCTGGTGGTCCCAGTGTCCACATGGTGGGACCCTCGTCAGGTAACTCTGAACATAGCATGGTGCTGCTGCTCAACTCACGTGGCCTTTTTCCACAGGGGACGACCTCACTATTTATGGGGTTGTAATGCAGCGGTGGAAGTCCTTCCAACAGGATGTGCGTTGTGAAGTGGAGATAGTTTTAAAGGCCAATTACGTCCAAGTAAATAATGAACAGTCCGCGGCGAGTATCGTGGATGAGGAGGTCCGAAAGGAATTTGAAGATTTTTGGGAAAGCTATACGAGCAATCCTTTGGCAGGTTTGTGATTAGCATATAGAGCTGATTCTTTATTACTGGCATTTCATTCTGTACTTAGACACGTGTCTACAACTTTTGGGGCAGCCTTAAATGCTGCATTAACCCAGCAGCTGAATTCACATGGTAACATTGGTTTTGAACTATTATCTTAAACACTTCCTATTCTACTAAAACAGTAAGTTTTCTATTGCCTCTACCAATATGTAGCTCCTCCTTTAAAATGGCAAAACCGCATCCTATTAGGACTTCTAAATCTTTATGCTAGCAGAAAGCTCACCTTTCTTTTTTTTAACCATTTGATTGGGGGCTCTTACCACAATCCATACATCCATCCATTGTGTCAAGCACCTTTGTACATATGTTGCCATCAACATTTTCTACTTGAGCCCTTGATATCAGCTCCTCATTTTCCCCCTCCCTCATAAACCCTTGATAATTTATAAATTATTTTTCCCATGTCTTAAACCAACCACTGTTACGCTTCCCCCACTTTTCTGTTGTCCATCCCCCTGGGAGGAGACCACCCATCAATGATTTTAATCGATTCCACCTTTCTCCCCACACCTTCTCCTTCCCCTCCTGGTATTGCTACTCTCAATATTGGTCCTGAGGGGTTTATCTGTCCTGGATTCCGTGTTTACAGCTCTGATCTGCACCAGTGTACATGCTCTGGTCTAGCTGAATTTGTAAGGTAGAATTGGGGTCATGATAGTGGATGGGATGGGGGAGGGGAAGCACTAGAGAACTAGAGGAAAGTTGTATGTTTCATCGGTGCTATACTGCACCCTACCTGGCTCATCTCTTCCTTGTGACCCTTCTGTGAGGGGTCCAATTATCTACAGATGGGCTTTGGTCACCATTCCTCACTCCCCCTCATTCACAGCGATAGAATTTTTTGTTCTGGGTCTTTGATGCCCGATACCTGATCCCATCAACACCTCATGACCACACAGGCTGGTGTGCTTCTTCCATGTGGGCTTTGTTGCTTCTAACTAGATGGCTGCTTGTTTATCTTCAAGCCTTTAAGACCCCAGACGCTATACTTTTTGATAGCCGGGCACTAGCAGCTCAGCAAGCTCACCTTTGCCGGGCAGAGTGGCTGGTGGGTTTGTAGTTTGCAGCCCAGAGCGTAGCCCACAGTGGCACTAGGGCTCTCTTAACTAGGACACTATAATGTGATTATGACAATCAAAACATCACAACTTTGGGTTTGCGGAGCAAGGTTTTTATTTAAACATCCCAATGTACAATACACTATTTAAATCTTCAAATGCCTGTTTTCATTCTTCTTTGGAGGCATCTTCTAAGAAAAAACAAAGCATAAGAGACTAATTCTGTAAACTTTCCTTCCAATCTGGTATTATTTTCAAATCACATGTTGAACTGTACAGGTATCAGTTCACAAAATAAGACTCCTATTTGCCTAAATCTACGTAGTTTGCTTTTGTCTGTGGACTTTTTGTGCTTCCACGTATCATGCAGTCATGTGTGATCACTCATGAATCTGATCCATTCGCAAAGAAGCAAACTTCTCTCCCCTGTGGCTCTATAAGCAAGCCCTCTGGGAAGTATCTATGAGGGGGCTTCAAACAGTCTTTGAAAAGCGATTTAAAGGGTGATGGGATTTTTTTCCAGGAACTTTTTGAAGCCCCCCATAATATCTGTAAATTATTTTTTTCTTAATTGAAAAGTATTTCTCAGGATCAGATCTTTAGAAAAATATGGACTTCTTCCTTGCATGCCGCTTTTAAGTGCCACAGCTCAGCTCTGCCTGGTGACGAAGGCGAGCACCACAGTGCTCTCCGTGGACCTGCGCACGACGCTACACGCATTTGATGGATAAGAAGAAAATTGCAACCGTGGTGGGGAGAGAAACAGGGAGAGAGAACACAAGCCAGGATCCTTCTTGAACAGATTCTCCTTAAAATACTGTTGTGGGCGCCAGGGCATAGCTGTCTTGCGCCACCTCCAGTTGTCCTGTGTCACTCCACTTGTCAATCCATCTTGTTGAGGGGCTTCCTCTTTCGCTTTACCAAGCATGATGTCCTTCTCCAGGGACTGGTCCCTCCTGATAATGTATCTAAAGCACACGAGAGGATGCCTTGCTCTCCTTCCCACGAGCATTGATTTCAGAGTGGACGAGGGTGTCGGGGTGAGGAGCCGGGCAGGAAGCTCTTCTTTCAAGGGTCTTCCTTTTGCCTAGTGGGACGTGGGAGATACTTCACTGAGCAGCTCTTGGCAATCTGAGCTGGCCCACTGAGGCCCAAATCTGTGGCATTGACTAGGTTGAGTCTACAATTATTCTGATCCGCAGTCCTCTCGGGGAGCACTTGACCCTAGTGCTTAGACACTGGCTAGAAACCCTTACAGACGGGGTTGGAGTCTGCTGGACCAAACGGAGGTGACTCTGGCATCTCAAACCCAAGTTCTCTTCATTAGGGTAACTGAGGGGCACAGCCCACTATTAAACATAACCCAGAATCTGAAGAGTACTCACTCTAGTGCATTTCCTCCACGACAAAGTTATGGGCACCTCTATCACCATAACCCAAGTACAGAGCTTTCAATTGAAGACAACAAATTTAGGATAATGCTTATCTCTGGAACTTCAGCCCTGCCTTCTTAGTATGTATTTAGCATTCATTAGTGAGAAGAACTCTTGAGATGAGAAATAAGCACAAGTGGTACTTGTTACTTGATTAATAGTTCACAATTAAGTCATTCCTATTATGTGCCAGTTACTGTTCTTTGTAGGGAGCCACAGTGGTGCAGTGGCTACACTTTGGACTATGGTCCCCATGGTCGGCAGTTCCAAACCACCAGCAGCCCCACGGAAGAAAGACTGGGCTTTCTACTCCTGTACAGTTGCAGTCTCAGAAACCCACTGGGGGTCACTGAGAGTCAGCATTGACGTGATGGCAGTTGAGTGTGGTTTGGTTTTTGGTACTATTCGTTGTACTTTCAAAGTTGCTTAAAGATTCCAATGTACTTTCAAAGCTGCAAAGATTCCAACTTAAAACAAGCCTCCAGGAGAAATGCCCTATAGTTTTCAAAGCTGGACCTTTAGGGAAAAAGATTGCCACGGCTTTCTCCCGTGAAGCAGCTAGTGGGTCAAACTTGCCGACCTTGCTGTTAGCATGTGCCAGTGTGCACTGAGCCATCTGGCTACCAGGGCCCCATTTCTCTGTGCTTTATGACGTATTAACTCCTTATATCTCAGCACATCTACACAATACTTACGACCTTCTTTTTACATATAAGGAAATGAAGACAGAGAGGTTAAGACACTTGCTCAAGGCCACACAGCCAGTAATAGCTGGGATTTTAAGCCAGGCCTCTGACTCCAGATAGTATGCGTTTTATAACTTGGATGTTTGCTGTAGGCACCATAGTCATGCTTTATTCCAACTTTTATTCAGCAAAGCTGCTGCTTACCAGTATTAGCTTGCATTTCTCCCAGGTCACTTTGCCTTCTGCGAACCTGCTTGTTGGGGATCTTTCTTCTTTCTTTACATGTGTCCTCTCTAATACTGCACAGAGATTATGTGCCTGCTTTTAGGTCTTACCTGCCTAGAGCCATGACCTGCCTGCACTTTCCTCCAGGCTTTCTACCTCGCAGAAGGGGGAGGCCCTCTGGCTGGCAGGTAGTGCATGCCCTTCATGAATTGGCAAATTATTTCTCTGGTCCCCCTTTTTACTAAAAGTTTGTCTTCACCATTTCTGCTGAAGCCAGTCATGTCACCATAGTCAATTGAACTCATCACATAAAGTAACCTTTGTATAAAGAAAGGCCCTTTCTCCGGAGAGTTTGTCAGGAAAGCTACAATCACCAGCGCGCAGATACTTGTACAATTTCCTTCTGGTCAAAAGAGGTATTCCTGAAATGTGAGTGCAGACTCAGAGAAGAATATAGACGTCCTGACGTGACACCTGAAAATGAGGCACCAGGCAGAAGTGTTGAGAACATGAATGCAGACAGAGGACTGTCACAATATAGGGAATTCATTGCAGGTGAGAACAAGCTCAGCAACTCTTGTTAAAATCTTGTAGGTTCTAGAAGGCTCCGCTGGTTGATTAGGCCAGGGACTGGATGAAACATCTTTACTCACAGGTGGTATAAATAGTCTTGGGTTTTATGCTTTCACATTTCTGCAGATGGAGCCTAAGACCGAGCTATCCTTTTATTTCAAACACATGACCAAGCCTTCACCCCATTCACAACACTGCACGGGGTCCGAATCCCAGGCTCTCAGCTTAGATCGTAGGGTTGTAGCCTGTAACGATCATCTTAATACCCGGAAACCCTGGTAAATAATCCCAGTTATAACACTTCACCAAATTGCTCTGAGTAAATGATGAATCCGGTGGTAGGGCGGATTTTCTCCTCTTCCTCTTCCACCTTTGAAGAAGCTGCAGAAGCCCCCAAGTACCTGTTGTGAAGGCTCCTGGCTCCGGTGACGACGGGAGATAACGTCCTCTTACTTAGGCGGTGCAGCAAGTACAGCGAAAGGCAAGAATGAAGTAAAAGCTGAAGAGAAGGTTTCCACGTGGGACTGAAGAAAAAATATTATATGAAATGTGTGAAGATTGGAAATAGAAAACCAAATGGGAAGAACATGTGCAGTATTTTTCAAACTGGAAGAACTGAGGAAAATTTTCAGTCCTCGAGCTTCAATATTGAAAGATTATATGGGCAAAAAATTGAATAATACAGGAAACATCAAAAGAAAGTGGAAGGAATACAGTATCACTGTACCAAAAGGAATTGGCCCAGCTATTTCAGGAGGTGAGATATGATCAAGAACCAGTGGCGCTGAAGGAAGGCATTCAAGTGGCACTGAAAATACTAGTGAAACCAAGAACTACCAATTGAGGGGTTTCAGTAAATGGATGCAATGCTGGAAGTACTACTTTGTCATCTGTGCCAAGAAACTTGGAGAACCTGGTCAGCTAACTAGAAGAGATCCACATTTGTATCCATTCTAAAGAAAGCTGAACATGGAAACGATCCATTAGTATTCTTCATATTGTACAATTTTGTTGGAGATTATTCTGAAAAGGTGGCAGCAATATGCGGGCAGGGAACTTCCAGATATTAAAGCCCGATTCAGAAGAGCATGTGGAACAAAGAATATTATTGCTGACATCAGATGGGTCTTGCCTGAAAAAAGGAGAAATTTAGAGATGTTTACATCTGTTTTAATGACTATGTGATGGTATTTGACTGTTAATCATAGTAAACTATGGGAAACATTGCAAAGAACAGGAATTCCAGAACACATAATTGTCCTTAATGTAGAACCTACACAGACATCGATTAAGAGGCAGTTGATTGAACAGAACAAGAGTTTATTAACCCTATAATGCCGAGCGCAACCCTGTACAGCAGAGTAGAACTAACCCCATATGGTAAATCTTCAAGGGAGTAGAAAGCCTCATCTTTCTCCCTCAGAATAACGAGTGATTTTGAACTGCTGACCTTGTTAGCAGTCCACAGTGTAGCCCACTATACCACCAGGGCTCCAGTACCCCTGGAAGCAGCAGTGAAGAAATCAAACAGCATATTGCTGTAAAGGATCTCTTTAAAGTGTTACCCGGAGGACTAAGGTGCACCTCGCCTAAGCTCTATTCTTTTTAAGTATCACATATGCATGCAGACCCTGGATAATGAGTAAGGAAGATCAAAGAATTAATGCCTTTGAATTATGGTGTTGGCAAAGAATATTGAATATAGACTGCCAGAAAAAGGAATAAATCTGTCTTGGAAGAAGTACAGCCAGAATTGTCTTTAGAAGTGAGGGTGGCAAGCTCGGTCTCACCTTTGGCTCTGTCATCCAGAGGGACCAGCCCTAGTGAAGGACAGACACCGTGGTGGGTGAAGCGGTGGAGGGTCAGTGAAAGAGGAAGATCCTCAAGGAGATGGATGAACACATAGCTGCAACAATGGACTCAAACAGTAACAATCATGAAGATGGTACAGGACCAGGCAGTGTTGCATCCCGTTGTTCAAGGGTCACTATGTGTAGGAACAGACCGGGAAAAACCCAAGATCCTCTGGAAATGCGGTTTCATTTTTATGGGGTATATTAACCTAATAGGTGATCGATAAATAAGGGGCATTCCTAAATGTTTGTTCCTTTCTAAAGTGTGGTAAATGTATAGAAACTTAAGCAGCATCAAAGTCAAACCCACTGCCATTGAGGCGACTTCCAATTCATGGACAGCAGAATTGCTCCTGTGGGTTCCCAAGGCGTGTATCTTTACAGAAGCAGAGGCTCACTTCTTCCGAGGAGCACCTGGTGATCTTGCAGTTAGCAGCCAAACACGTCACCCACAGTGCCACCAGTAGTGCGCCTTAGTAGCACCCCCATAAACTTTTCATCTCATGCCATTAATATGAAAATGACTTACAGGACCAAACAAACAAAAAGAGCCATTTACTCCTTTCGATCATTTGGAAATGACCCTCTGGATCATTTTAGGTGGTAGGAAAAAATGTGTTTGTAGAAGGATCGTCAGATATGACAGGAAGGGAAACTTTCGTTAGATTAAAAGTAGAACTTGCTGGTGACTTGCTCTCTTTCTGCTTCTTTAAGGCCGGAATGAAATACTGGCCAGCTTGTGCCCGCAAGTCTTTGGGATGTATCTCGTCAAGCTTGCTGTGGCCATGGTGCTGGCTGGTGGGATTCAAAGGACCGATGCCACAGGGACACGTGTCAGAGGTTAGTGCTGTTTGAATCGTTTGAGATGGATTAACATTTTGGTAGAAGGGGTTATGAATGAAAATTGCTTGGTGAGCTCTTACTTTCCAAATGTTATCTTTTTAAATGTGGCAACTCTCTGGATCTGTAATAGTTGGCCTAGCCTCTCTATGTCAGAATCTAGTTTTCTAGAACTGCAGTAAGATCAAAAGACATCGTAAACTTTCAACGCGTGCATGTTTGTTTTAGCCTGTAAGGGCACCACAAATTAAATGTTTATACTTTAAAAACTGTGTATATTTTCCACTGGATCCCAAGTTGCTCTTAGGAAAACATTAGAAATGGTGCTTTGTAGTGTTTCCCAGGCAGGGAGCCTCCATCTGTGCCTGCCACTCTGCTGCTCATCCTTTCTGCTAGGGGGCAGCAAATGCACCATCTGCCAGGAGGTCACACATTCCAGCAAAGATTTTGCTCAGTGTGCAATGACCTCTTAATGTCAGAGCTTTCTTCTGGCTAAACACACTCAACTGACCTGGAAATCTGGCATGAAGCAGGCTTTTAGAGTCCTTGTGTGAGCCAGAATGACCAAAGACTGCATTACTGTAAATCAGGCTGTTAGGAGGGGCTCAAGAACTATATCATCTAGGACAGAATAGTATATTGTACTGTTTTGTTTTGATAACGAGTATTGGTGGTCTATTAAATATGTGTAGTATATTTTGTCACCTATTATTTATAAATGTTGAAGCTTATTAATATATTCAGAAAATAGTTTTCCTAAAAAAAAACCATATCACTGAGATACTATATACCAGCAGTTCTCAACCTGTGGGTTGTTAGCCCTTTGGGGGTTGAACGACCCTTTCACAGGGATTGTCCGATTCATAACAGTAGCAAAATGACAGTGAAGAAGCAGCAACGAAAATAATTTTATGGTTGGGGGATCACCACAACATGAGGAACTGTATTAAAGGGTTGCGGCATTAGGAAGGTTAAGAACCACTGCTATATACCAAGACGCTTGTGTTTATTGTTAACATTTGAAAAAGTCCTCAATTAATTTAGGATATTTCATTAAACTACTGAAATTTTCAAAAAATGAGAGCTTTCAGGTAACTTGGAATTATAATTGATTGTTATTTATGAAGTACTTATAAAGACCTTAAAACTTGTGGTTAAATTTTTCTTTTTTTTAAATTAAGATACTTCTATGTCTTGAATGAAAAGATTTAATTACACTCACTTGGTATTTAAAAAATAATAAACATAGGCCTAAACATCTCAAAATAGCACATAATCTGTTACTAGAGTTTAAATTTCAAATATCACATTCAGTAATCAATTACAAATTGTCATATTTATGAAGTGGTTAATTTTTCCAAAGAATTTCTAGTTAAATCCTTGCTAGAATGATTGTAAGTACCTATGTGGACCAGGGGTACCATATACAGCAAAACTCTCTATCAGCCCAAGTGGATGCTCTTCTTTGTGATTCAAGGTCCTTTCATAGAAATTTGAAACGTAGCATATTTGTATTTTTCTAGGTGAATCACATCTCCTACTGGTTGGAGATCCTGGCACAGGGAAGTCTCAATTCCTCAAATACGCAGCTAAGATTACACCAAGATCTGTGCTTACCACCGGAATCGGCTCTACAAGTGCAGGTATTTTGTGTGACACAATCAAGTAATTTTTATTACCACAGGCTCGAACTTAGGGAAAAGTACCTGAAATATATTCCAAGTTAACTTTTGTTACTGTCAAAAAAGGGGAAGGAAATGCATCTCACTTTTTAATCTCTAAGAAAATATTTTAAAATTAAGCTCCACCCACATTTAAGGTTTTCCATGAAAACATACTCTGTACATTCTCCTTCGATCCTTCATTTTGAATGATCCTATTCACTTTTCTCACTCTCTAGTGACATCTTCATACACGTTTTATTATCTATGCAGAAAGCATAAAGAGTGTGTATGCAAGTAAGTAAACAACATGAAAATACATTTTGTAGGGAAGAAAATTCACTTTATGAAAGTAGATCACTGGTTTAGAGCGTAAGGCATTTTGATGATTATGGTACATATCCCATGGCCAACAGTAGCTCCTACTGAAGTTTCTCAGGTGGAAATTTTATCTACTTAGAATGTGGAAAGCAGAGCTTACTCAAATCCATATTTTGTAATCATTCCTCAACTCATGCATCAAATAACATGCAGATAAAATGCCAAGAAAAGTGCCTTCAAGTATTTAGCACCATTGTTTTAGGGGGAAAGTATTTCTAAAACCATGTTTTGGTACCGTTTTGAATTTTGTTTTGATTGGGAAAATATTTCTCCTTTTCACACAAAACAAGCGTTTGGTTTCACCCACTGAACAGATAGCATTTGCTACTTGCTAAGGGTGTCTAGTTTCTAGGATTTGTTTACTTGTTTATTGAAACTTCTACTTTAAAATTCATTACAGAGTATAAACTGGTTCATAATGGGACACCATTCTAAGTACCTCTAAAGTTTGAAATACAAAGCTAACTGGACAGGACATTAATCACCAACAAGAAGGGATTTGTAAATTGACAAAAGTAAACAAATTTTAGGATACTAGAAGGGAAACAGGCAAGAATAACGCCTGTAATTCATTTTAGAAACCTTATGACCAGGTGGTTTAGAATTCTGTACACAGTAACACTATATAGCTCTTCTTCAAGCAGTTACATTGAATATTCCTGAACTAGCTATTTAGAGTGGTAAGAAGTAGCCCATGCTATTCTGTGGCATAGAACTGATTTCAGAGTATTTGGGCTGTTTTTACAGTGAATTGGCTCCTGACTCGCTATATTGACACTTTCCCTTCTTTTATATACCTTTGATTTCAAGATTATAGCCCAATCATCAGGAAAGAGGAGGAATACTTATTTTTAAAGTATAGAAAAGTGATGATGACTTTTCTTGTCCACCAAAGGGGCCAGACGAGTCTTTATTCAAACTGTGTTCACAACTCATTAGGTCGTAAGAGTCATCTCTGGATGAAAACTCGGTAATTTCAAATGAAATAGAAAAAACACTGAATTTCACTGCATGTATTAACAGTATATGTTCTTGAAGATTTTTTTAATATAAATGTGTGCTAATATTAATATAAATGTGTTTGTGGGAAAATTCCATCTTTGAACCCCTTTTTCCATGAGCTTTTCGGAAGCCCCTGTTTGTGTGTGTGTGGTGTTTGTTTTCACTGTGGAATATGACAAAAAGCTTTAAAGGTTGCTGTCAGGAAGTAAGCAAGCCCAGAAACCCCAAATCCTGACATCTGAAAGCTTATAAAAGGCTGAAGGGTCGATATGAGCAAATGCATTACACGTCCTCAGATTTCCTAAATGTTTTCTCAGGCCAAGTGGCTATCCCCTTCTCTCCGACCTACTCGCCGCTGGGTTCATTTCCTCAGGACACGTTCACTTCCTTTGATCAGCAAGGGGACAGCAGTTCTAAACGCTGAGCTGTGACTCCGATCGCATCTGCACGTGAGGCCAGGCAGGACCAAACAAAACTAAGTGCTGTCCTATTTCTTAGTTCCTAGAGTTTGGATTCTACATCTTATTTTCAGTTATCCGTTATTTACTTGTAAGAATCACATTTTACAGGCAGTCCAGGGTTATGAGTGCCGGATTTATATACAACCCATAGTTGCAAGCCAACATCCATAAAGATTAAAAATTTGAGGTACATACAATGGTTTGTAATAATAAACAGATGCTACCTTGTGACGTGCATAAAAACCATATTATTACTGTATCATGTAAAGATGTTTTATAGTGTATCTGGAAGTGCATCTTTTTTTAAAGAACTTCTAATAGTTCTCTTAAAGATTCTATTAGTTCCATATATTCCATTATTTAATTCCATTTTCCCACAAACTTCCTGAAGCCTCCTCATATACACTAAGAAAAAATACACGTAACTCTTTCAATTTTACATACAGATTTGACCTAAAGGGAGAGTTAGGAACAAAACTCATTTTTAATCAGTGGATTCCTGTAAAACCCAAATACTTTAAACAGAGATAATAGTTTTTAGATGTAGGTTTAGGTCCCAAATTTCTGTGAAAATTAGCTGTCCATTTACTAATTAATGAAAAAGAAAAACGTATTAGGTTAATACAAATCGGTCATTGCAGCTAGTGGAATAAAAACTCAGCAGTGAACTGTTTTGGTCATCTGGCTTACATATGCTTTATTTCTAACAAGCACACACTGCTGTTTTAGTTCCTTTTAGGCGAGTTAATTTTTATTAGGAAGTATTTTATTTTCATTTTAAGTAATATTTTAACATTTTCTTTTACTTGCAATCAGACCCAAACCAAAGTTTCTTCATCAAACTACTTTTAACAGTTTGGGTGTTATTTTACTTTTCAAATCTATGAACTAGTTATGGACAATAGATAATTTGATAATGTGGTATACTAGACTTTAAAGTTGAACATTTAGCCAAACTTTGCTAAATTCAGAGATCACTTTTTAAAAATAGGAGGAAATGTGTACAACTTTAGGATCCATGTTTAACTGTCTTTTTTATTCCTCAAAACCTAACACTTTAAAATACACAGTAGGAAAATTTCTGGTATGAAGGCACTGCAGTTTTGTGTCACGTGGTCATGGTTAACGTCGTGCTTGGCAACAAGAGTGGCAGAAGTAGTCTATACTTAATGAAATGGAGCAGAAGAAACTGAGGAAGAGCCTAGCTCTCAGCACAGAAAAACCACCTCCTGATCCATGTAGTGATGGATTCTTTTCCAAGATTACTTTTTAAAAATATTTTATCTGGAAGAACTATCTAGAGCACACCAACCACAAATATACCTAATATTGTTCGGCATGAGTGCCAAGTCTATGAACAAGCGTATAGAGGTGGGAAGATATGAGGGGGCTTCAAAAAGTTAAATTTTCCATAAGCCTTTTGAAGTCCCTTGTATTTAATTCCAAAATAGCAACTTGTCTTTCATGATAAAGCTAAATATACCTTTCGAAATCCTGGATTTTTATATAAATGCAGCCAATAAGGGATGATATACTAAAATCATTGAAAGTTAAAATTCACAGCATCTATTTAAATCTCATGAAACCTGGCCCTTAAATCAAACCATGTATGTTTTCATAATTAAGAAATACACACACACACACACACACACACACACACACATATATGTAGTGTAGTTTGAGTCTTTGTAAAATAGTGGTCTCCACAAGGTTTTATTCTGAGAAGTTAAGATATCTTTCAACCCGGTCTAGAGATTCAGTTTTTCTTTGTAAGTGCTTTTAATTCCATTATAGAAGAGAATAATATATATAATCAATTTGTTTGAAAACAAATAACGCGTTAGAGAAAAAAATTACTTAAAAATAGTTGTATTTATATTCCACAATTTGTTCAAATACTGGTTTTCATATAAACTTTCTACAGAATGATTTTTAAACAAATTCTTCACATTGTGTCTTGACTGTGTACTTACGGAATTTCAGGGAAATAGTTCTGTGTTTTTGTAGCTTACTTTGTACTAAAAGGATCACAGGTGGTCACATGCAGTCCATGTGGGATTCTAACATGACATTGAGCGAGTTTTCTGACGTGGACCATCCCTTGGATGCTGAAGGCAAGGCATCTGTTGAAAGAAGGGACTGTAGGTTTGGATTACTGCTCTCTGCATCTTCCAGTTTCTCTGTGTTATCTTCCCAATTAATGTGGAATCTTGTGACCCTGGGATTAGATGCCAAAATGTTCCTTTGAAGCTAGAGAAGGAAAACACATAAACGGTAAAACATTAATATACAAACAGGAGCTTAATAAATGGTACCTTATGATGGTACTAAGTTCTCATACAAAGATCTAATTTGTCAAATATAACACTGTAACAGCCACCTAATAAACAAGGTTTGCCAAGAGAAATTTCTTGGCCTAGTGGAAGCAAGATTCTCTGAGGGAATTCACCCAGTTTGTTACCATTCCAAGTCTCTAACTTGTCTAGGCTTCCATTTCCTTAAAGAGAGAATGTTTTCTTTTAATGTTTTACATACTTTTGTTGCTCTTGAGAATTTGCACAGTGAAAAGCACATCTACCTTCCTTCAGCGGCATGGCTGACAGTCCTGAGGCTGCCCACACAACCACCTTTCTTTTTCTGAGCCCTTCCTCCTCCAGGAACCGAAGCTGCCTGCCTTCTAAGGCTCCTGTCTAATCAGTTGCAGATGTCAATTTGATCCTAGGTGGATAGTTCTTAAAAGAGTGTAATGCTTAGGGACTTTTTCCTAGTTAAACTACTGTTGGTTTTAATAAGACGTTGGGGGTATTTTTGTTTAAAATTTAAAGATTATCTAAGGACAATGGTTTCAGAGGTTCCCCCACCCTCCCTGGCTCCAGGAAGTCTTCCACCTTCTGGGCTCTTTTATTTGAAGGTGAATGCATTTACTGATTTAGACTGATAGGGTCTCTCTTCCATAGTCCATTCAAGAAAAAGGAAAAAGTTACCCAAGTAAACTATTAGTGGCTGTTCCTACCTTTTAAATGTATAGCTCATTTTTATAAACGGCATTCTCTCCCCCTGCCATACAAGGTTCCACCACTCAGATAACAAGCCTCATTTTACTAACAGGCCCATCCTGAGCTGGGAACCACTCGGTCTGATGGTTACAAAAGGAACACCATCATATTACATTCTGGGATTGCAGTGTTTTTTTGCATGGTACGACAAATGGAAAGTCAGGTTCATAATTTACTATACAGAACCCTCACAAAATCAGTGACTAAACTGCCCCCCTAGGAAATCGTTAGGACTAAGGATTTTTGAGGATGCTGGTTTCCAGATTTCAGCTTCAATCACCAGAAATAGTGTTGTTTTAAAACGTTAGATTAACCTCTAAGAAAAAAGGTCCTTAAATAGCATGGAAGAATTTGTGATAGTGCTAGGGTTAGAAACCCCCGGGCTGAGGAGGTTGTCTGCTTCTGTAAAAAAACAGTCTCAGCAACACTGTCGTCAAAGAGGCTCAGAAGCCGTAAGTTTGTTTCTCAAGTAGCACCAACTGTTTGCACTCCCCTACCACCTAAAGACTGGATGGTGATTTAGACCCATCCACTGGCACTGTGGAAGAAAGGCCTGATGATTCTGTAAACATTACAGCCAAGAAAACCTTATGCAGCAATTGGAATCAACAATGGGGTTTGATTTTTTAGTTTTGAATTCATCTTCAGGGGTTTTGTTTTGTTTTAAATTTAAAACCTAAGCATAGCAAGCAAATGAAATGAAGCACTTATGTACATAACAAAGGCTATAGGAACACACTAATTACTCACAAAAACAGAAGCAAAATTTCCCCCTATTATTTTGGAAAGAGTGATGGACAAAAATATCATTGCGTAATGAATATGACAGCATGAACTTGAATGCCGTATGGGTGTGGCATTTTATATGTATGGAAGTTTGAAATGAATACACATTATGTATGCAAAAAGCCTTAAGCAAAGGTGTATTTCTTGTAGGAGGCACTTTTTTTAAGCCATCAGAGACTCTGAAGGTACCTGCCCAACACTAATCATTAATGACATGCATAGCTGGAGATGGAGTTTGAGGTCATCAGTGAACAGAACAATGTCTTGTTGCCCAGTTGGCACAAGGACCTCAAATTTGTCTCTCATAGCCATTGTCATAGTGTACTACTATGAAATGAAAATTGCCAAAGAAACATACAGGTACTTAAAAACAAAGAAGCAGAACTTTACCTTAGAAAAGTCTGGTTTTACCGGTGGATTTTCCCTTAATTCTGTCTCGGTATATTCATTATTTACATAATAGCCAACTCTAATAAATTCTTGACCTCGATAGGTGCATGTGATTAGCACAACTGTTACACCTACTGCATCTGCATCTGGAATGAGTCCTGGGTTAGGTGCATCAGCCTACAATAATTTAAAAAGAAAAAGAAAACAAAACCACATACAGTGGCTGTTAACTGCAAGTGATACTGGAGAGTTGCCTTAAGCAGCAGTAACAAAACCTTGAAGCCAGAAGCTCATTTTGAGATTGATTGACTGCCAGCAAATAATAGTCCACATGTGTCTCTACAATATGGCACCTACCCTGAGTATTTGAAAGTACTGTTACTATCGAGTGGGTTCTGACTCATAGGGACCCTATCTATGTGCAACAGAATGAGGGAAACCGCCTGGTCCGGTGCCATTCTCATAATCACTGCTGCCTTTGAAGTCATGATGTCACCGCTACTGTGGTACTTCATCTCGTTGAGAGTCCTCCTCGTTTTCACTGGCCCTCGGCCAGGAATGATATCCTTCTTTAATGACTGGCCCCTCCTGATATGTCTCAAATACTTGCAACCAAATGTTGCTATCGTTGCTTCTAAAGTTCATTCTGGCTATACTTCTCCGCAGGTAGGATGGATTGTTCACTCTTCTAGCAGTCAGCGGTATACTCAATATGTTTCCCCAGTGCCATAGTTACAAGGCATCCATTCTTGTTTGGTCTCCTTGTTCACTGTCCTGCTTTCCCAAACCTAGAAGGTGATTGCAAACACTTTTAGAAAGCACTACTGCTAGAGGGAAATAGTCTGGCTACAGTATAGAGTGATTCATGAGGAATTATGCAATATTCAATTATAAAATGTTTTATAAAAGTCATTCCCTGAAATTTTCTAGACATAATTTTTAGATCTAAATATTCATTTGTCTCCACGTATCCTGTTACAGCAAACATTTTTTTTACCAGTTTCATGCAAATAACTTGTATAATTGTTTTGCAGCCCCCCTGGTACATTAGTTTCCTATGTATTACATATATGTGCTATATGTAGGAAAATGTAGTATATACCAGTTCCCCTCTCCTACCCAGAACACTTATATCCTTATGGCTATCTGCCTACCGTCAGATATTTTATTATTTTGATAAAACTGAAAATGAGTTGGATATAACTAAGTACTTTTCAAAAACCATTAATCTTTTATAAATAATCACTCTGCTAGACACTAAAATAAAATTACTTAAATCACACACATTCCAGAAATTGGATGTATGCAAAGATCCTGATTTGAATCAAGCTGCTATAAGCTGAGCCTCAGAGAATGCACACAGTGAATGCAGCAGCAGGTGGGCTACAGGCAGCCAGAGCCAGAGCACAAAGACAGGGCCTGTTCAAGGCCATGTGCGGGGCAAGGAGACCAACTAGAAGTTCAGAGAATGGTGGACTGTAGCAATGTGCAACGATGTTAGGCATTTGAGCTCAACCCCAGGCAGCCATTCTGGCAGTGGGTAAAGTTCCAGTACATTAGTTCACTGTTTCCCAGACACCTAGGATCATCCCTGAGCTTGGCTCCACGCTTCGACCAATGCCATCCTTGAAGCTGGCATCGCCAAGCCATCATCATCAAAAATTAATGTTTATGTCATGCCTACCATGTGAAGAATTACACAGAAAGGCATTAAATATATACCCTAGTCACTTAGGCCCCAAACTCCAGTCCCCCTTAGCATCCCATCTCCCACATCGCCGGTCTCAACATTTCCCAGCCTCTGAAGACCAAGTTCATGTCTTCATCTCTTCACTAGAATAAGCTTTCTTACTGTCTCCCAGCCTCTGGTCCATCATTTAACACTGCGGATGATGATCTCCATTTTCTAGGGGATAATATTTCTGTTCTTTTTAAAGCCCTTCATAATTGTCTCTAGCCAACCCCCACTCACACGTCCTTGGATTTCACTTGTTCTAGACATAGGGGTGCTCTTCTTTCACATCGCTGTGCCTCACAGGCTGTTTCCATGATCCAAAAGGCATTCTCTAACATCTCTTGAGAACATCAGCTTTTGAAGTCTGCATCAAATGCATCTTTCCCTGTGAAGTGCTTTCTAACTCAAGGGAAAATAATAGCTCCTTTTTGTGTGCTTACATGACTTGACACAACCGCATCCCTCCCCACTACTACTACTGCAAACCCAACAATCTAAATGTGTCTACCACCCTCCAGTCTTCTAGATGCAATGCTCCGTCCAGGGCAGGGATCCCATCTTGCATCTCATGGCTCCCACAGCTCTGGGCACATAGTACAGACAGACTTGTATTTCAAAATGTATTCATAACTCAATTCCTGCCATTAGAGTTCATGACCTCTTTGGGACAATACAGCGATTCCTGGGGAATATGTTCTTTACCTTAGAGGTGCTGTGTAACTGAAAGGGAATGAAGATGGAAATAGCTCAGTATTCCATGGAAGCTTGCTCCCTACATTGTTTCCCATCCCTTCAACAAAGTGGTCCTAGACATGTTTGTGTTTTAAACGTTGTTTGCCAAAGGATATAGCTTGAGCAAATTTAAGTAGAGAAACCTGCGAACCTCTCAGGCCATTTAAGGATCTGTGACAACAGCCAGTAATGTTAGGCAGATAATCTGGCCATCTCCCTGCAAGCTTGTGACACCCTCTTGAGAAACTACGTTGACTGATATAAGCATGGCAGAGCAGCAGGGTCCTAGGGCCATTTGCTTAAGACACAAAGCCACACAAAACCTGGACTGCAGTGCCATCTTTTGATGGTGAATTTTGTAAAATGCATACACTGAAGACAACCAAAACCACATGGTGCTACATCTGTCCTTTTTGGCAATGTGCACTGACACCAAGGTAAAACAACCTGAACATGACTAGAAGCAAATACATCTGAGTAAGATGTTTTCTTACAGCGTTCTAAGCCTAAGCCCAAACCTTAGGGCAGAGGTCCTCAAACTTTTAAACAGGGCCAGTTCACTGTCCCTCAGACTCATTGCAGGGCCGGACTATAGTTTTAAAAAAAACTATGAACAAATTCCTATGCACACTGCACATACCTTATTTTGAAGTAAAAAAACAAACGGGGCAAAAACACCCGGCCGGATAAATGTCCTCAGCAGGCTGCATGTGGCCCGCGGGCTGTGGTTTGAGGATGCCTGCCTTAGGGTCTCTTCTTAGCACGCTCAACACATAGAAAAGATTTTTGAGGGTTTGTTTTTAAAACCAAGGAATTTATTTGGGGGCAGACTTTATGTCTGCGTTTTTATAGTAGCATTAAAAGATGTATCACAGCACAAATTTCTCACTATATCCAGAGTTATTAATTAGTGAAGCAGGAGTGCTCCAGGATAGTGAGACCAAAAAAATACCGCTTCTCAATCTAGCAGTTTTAAGAAGCTGAAGACAATAAAATTTCACTCAAAATAATAGAACCAGGGTTCTTACTAATTGCCAGTGATTGTGCTAGCTGCTTTATTCCTCATTTAATCTTCAATTGGCTGATGAGCTGGACTAATATCCACATTTTATAGGTGAGGAGCTTATTTAAAGTCTTGTAATAGCTAGCAACCATTGAAGCTGGACTTTGAACTCTTTACTATGGCGCATCCTCCAACATGGGACCTTTAGTTTGCCAGGTCTGTCACTGAAGCAGTGCACTCACAGCTCTGGCTAACAGCACCACTGTCTTTTCATTAATATAGTCAGTAGTATGGATAGACCATGTTATTTCTTAGATCCTTGATTATCTACTAAGATTCCTATAAACTTTAAAGCTGGAAGACAAAAAGTCTGCATCTCTTTTTAGGAAATCTAGAGATGTTAAAGGAATTCTTTGCTTGTTGCTGAAAGAACTGTTGGATTATCATTTTACCTTCCCATCCTAGAAGGTAAAAAACAGGGAGGTAAGGGATAGAGAGAGTTAGTTCCTTTCTGGATTAAGTATCTAGTGGTTATTCTGCTTTACTGATATGACTTTCTTGAGTAAAAGTACTTGTATCAAAAATTAGTAACTGGTTTTAAATGTATAGTTAGTTCCTCTTTGGATGATTATAAATATCTTCACTTAGTAAACATGGATAATTGAGAAGTGCTTGAATAGTTCTATCTAGCAATTTAATAAAAATTAAGAGAAATAAAACATTTGAGTATATAGATCACAACATCTAAAGCCTTGACACAAACCCAAACATAAGTTATTTTAGTAGAATTCCCCCGCACAAATGGCGAGAAGGGGAGTGGAGTCCCAGCGGCAGTCCACTGGAAGATGTGTACATGCGATGCGCTAGTAAACCAAGGACTCAAGGTCAAGTAGACCCTTGATTACCTACTAAGGTTCCTCTAAACTTTACTCAGTTACTGACTTTTTGGAAATTATTGTGTGTGTGTGTTTATATGAAGATAACTTCATCTGTCAGGATTTTAAATCCATGTGCTTAGCCATTGGAAAGCCACCAAAAGTCTAGTACTACAAGGCTATTCTCGGGAAGAACCCAAGACTAGCTGTTCTGTGCATCATGACACAGCATTTGGTTTAGTGCGCGCTGTGCCGTGCATCTCCTTAGCTTCTCAGCACAACATAACAGGAGTCCGAGTTCCTTGGTGATAGAGATGTCACACGAAGGAGGCAGGATCAAAACCTGAATAAGGCAGTGTTTCAACCCAGAGGAAGAAACAAGGAGCATCAAAGAATATGCTGTTCAGAAACATTTGACATACATAGTTACCAAGAGTCATCTTACCTGAAATACAAACATATGCCTTCCTGCAGGAACAGGTCCCACTAAAACAGAGTCTAAAACTTGATCGTATTCTTCACTTTCTGCAGAGCCCACATAGATAATTTTCCACTCCAAGTCTAGAGTTAAAAACCAACACACATTTCAGTCAGTAGATATATTACCAGAGGATACCAAAGCCCCTTTAGTGTCCATTTTACCATAAAGTTGGCTGCTTAGAGTAGAAAATCCAGACACTGAACTGTTCCTTACAAATTCTTACACTTCGTTCCAGAGTTTCTCAAAATGTTTGCTCCTCAAAAGCAGAGAATGTAGCCAAAATGCTGGGAAATGCTAGTCAATTTTTTAGGATTCACAAAGCACACTGGCAGAATAAGTGTTCTGAGATGTCCCGCAGGAACCACCCAATGCCAAGCTCACTGCCATGCAGGTGGTTCTGACTCTCAGTGACCCACAGGACAGATACACTACCCCAGAGGAATTCCAAGGTTTTAAATCTTTACAGAAGCAGACTGCCTCCTCTTTCTCTAGCAGGACAGCTGAGCACTTACTTACTCACCCTGCTATCAGGGCTCCTTAAAGAACATCTCTGAAGTTCTCCAGCATTTCCCACAGTTATGTGGCTAAAGCATCCCTCCTGGTTTTAATGCAATCTTTTAACAAACCACTTAATTAAAAACAAAAACAAAACCACCTCACTACTGACTCAGTCCCCTATGCAGACTTGGGAATTCTTTGGGTCAGTTCTGACTGGGAGTCAAAATCAACTTGCATTCTACACTGGCATTTAACGGTAGAAGCACTGTCCTGTGCTGGGTTATATGGCTCCAAAGGCTCAGAGAGCTCCAAGTGCAAATAGCATTACTACTCAAGCTCCCTCGCACCTTAGAAGTAAAACCTTCCTTGTGGCTTAGAAATAAAAAGCATTAGTTTCTCAGCTAGCTATTAAAGAACTGTTGGATTTCTCCCTCTTGGAATACCCTCATCTCATTCTTTAAATTGACAAGAGGAAGCAACAATCCTTCAAAAAATAAATGTTGCCATAAGTTGATTGTTTCATTATAAACACCAGCTATCAAACTAGAACTGTACTCCCAACAGGTTTTTTTCCTTCAAGCTTCTGGACAGATGCTCCTGGCCAGCCTTTTGGTCAGTAGATATACATTTCACTTGTTCATGCCACCCAGGGACTCCAAGGCTCCTTTTATGGATTCACTGGAGTGAGTGTACACAGTGCAAGTGGGTGGGGGGAATAAGCCACACTGAAGTACAGTCCAAGACACTGCATACAATTCAACCTAGCACATTATATTGAGAACCTTTTATAATGTGCTACAAAGACCTCAGGATGAGTGCGCTCTTCCTTTCTGAAGGAGCCAACTCCCTACAGGGGAAGGAAGATGGTTATGCAAACAGGCTGTCTGGCACTGCAGTGGTCAGCCTCGTGGACTCCCGCACCGGGGCTCTATAAGCACTCCCTGAAGAGCGGGTTTCAGGGTCACTCTTTGCTGGCACCACGTGTTACTATTTCTACATGATTCTATGATATTTTTGTTCCCTAAATAGACACTAAAAATATTGTAGGTACTATTTCTTACCCATACTGTACTGTAAACTGTTAATTTATTCAACTGAACATACCTTTAGACTTAACACTTTCTTTAATTAAGTCAGCAGTTATTTTCTGAGGACCTAGTGTGTTACTGTGCTATATTATGTCATGGATGGCCTAGACCTAGAACACTAGTATTCCCTCATGTTCTAGCGCAATTCCAAATGCAGGGCCTTGCTTCTGCCCTGAAACTCTGTACTTGCTGATAAAGGACCAGTATCCAAGGATGCCAGCCATGATGATCCGTGAGAGGGAACAGCGAATGCAGAGGCCTAGAGATAGGAGCAGGTTTGGCATGTTCAGGAGAAAGCCGAGGGCAGGGCAGCTGCCGGAGAGGGAGAAGCATGGCTGGATCGTGTGCAGCTATGCAGGATCGTACGGATTTCCGCTGGTTTACTGATTGGCACACGTGGGAAGCCATTGCAGGGTTTGAGCAGAGGGAGGACATGATCTGACCATCATTGTCAAAGGATCTTGTTGGCTGTGGTGTTCAGTAGACAGTGAGCAAGGGAAGATAAAGGAAGGCTATTCAAAAACTAAAACAAGAAATTATGGTGGTGGAGACTGTGTGCAAGAGGACTTAAAAAAAAACCCATGGAAAAGTTGTACTATCTTTCCATTATACTTATCCATGAACTCATTTTAGAGATGAGGTCATTTTGGGTGGAATTGGAAGGTAAAGCAACAGGACTCAACGACTGTAAGAAAAAGTCATCATCGAAGGCCTGAGCACGGGCAAGAATGGAGGTACCACTGAGGCCGTGAAGAAGACAGGGGCACTGTCAGTTGTTGGGGTGGGGAATACCAATCGAATCCGTTAAGTTGTCTTCTAGATAGCTAGGTAGAAATATTGAGTACGCCTGGTTAAAACTATTGGCAGTAACCTGTAAAGCCAGGAAAATGGGTAGGATTCCTGTGGAGTGAGTACTGGACCCACTACAGTTAACCTTTTCCTGACCCATGGGGCATATACCAGCAACCTACACTTTTAATCTCTCGTTTTTTGAGAAGCTGCTACTCCACTTTCAGTATGTGCTGTCACCTGTGCAGGATCTCTATTACTGGGTCAAGCTGAGGAAGCAGGAGGTCTCACTCCATCAGTCTTACTTAGGACAAATGTGTCCCACAAGATCCTTATGAGCAAAAACTCTTTTTCTCTTTGATTTTGGCATGTCTGTCATTACTAAAGGCATACAATATTCCGTTATGAAAGGGTGAAAGAAGCCAGGGGGTGAGACTCAGTCAGGGAGACTCCAGTGAGACAGATTGGTGGTTCAGTGGTAGAATTCTCATCATCTGTGAGGGAGACACAGATATGATTCCCAGCCCCAGTGTACCTGCTGTGCAGCCACCACTTGCCCAACAGGAGAGGCTGGAGCTTCCAAATTACATGGACTAAAAAAGAAAGGCTCGGCCATCTATTTAGGCATATCAACCAGTAAAACCCCTACAGATTACAAGCGCCCTGCCTGTAACCTTAGGGAAATGGTGATAAACTGTATCTATTGAATGGGTCAAGTGGAGGTTAAGGCTGAAACTGTCACTCAGATTTCAGAGAATTTTGCTCAATTCCTATGTTAATCCTGTTACATATAGTGCTCTGGGACCCTAAATGGTGTTTAAATTGTATAACATGTTATGCTAGACCTCTTATTAGGACAACTCAAAAAGTATTACTACAAGATCATAAAAACTTCCATTAAACAAAAGTAAGAAAATGTGTAGCGACTGTTTCTGGATCTTCCCCAACTGGGTTCACAAATTTTTGGAGATGGTGTTTATATCTCCTGCCCTCCCCCCAGAGAATTCTGTGCTCTTGGTTTTACATCATGTAAAAAGTAGCCATGTGGGGATCCTGAAAGGACTCAGATGGTGTTCCTTTGAAACATTAAGCTTGGAGGGAAAAAGGGAATCTGAAAGGGGCAAGATCGGCATTAGAGTGGATGGGGTATGGATTCCCAGAAATATTCTCATAGGACAGCCCATGCTACCCACAAACACTGAGCCAAGTGCATTGTGGAAATGGAAAAAAATCCCTCTGTTCTGCTTTCTTGGCCTTCTACTCACCAATGTAATTTTCAATTAAAAAAACAAACCCAAACTTCGTAATAAACCCCTGTGATTCTCCTGTGGCCTTGAAGGAAATTTATTAAGATCATTTACCCCTTTGAAATCCCTCCCCAAATTTCCATAACATTCTGAGCTGATTTATATGCCTTGCATTTAACTGGCCCAGAAGAGTCCAGTAAAAGCCACTGTTTTGATTAGACCTTGTGTCGGAAGGGACCCGAACTTGATTAAAACAAGTGTGTTATTGAGAGGACTTAGCTGCATCTGCAGCCAAACCCAGATGCCCATGACAAGTTTAAACACATCTTGTTTGACATACAATTGGCAATGCATGAATGGCAATGCTTTTTGACGTACCCTCAATGTAAACCTGCTTTTAAAAATACTATATTCCAGGCATTGGCCACTGCACACAGTATATATCTCAACTTTACAAACCAAACCCACTGCACTGAATCTAAATTGCGACTCACAGCACCACTCTAGGGCACAGTAGAAGAAATAAGACGCCAGTCTCAACTTTATCACAGGAGCCCGACTTGATGGCAATTTGAGGGCTGCCTTTTTTGGGTTAATTATCCATAGAAGAAAATTGAGGCCGAGAGGATCAGGTATATACTCAAAGTTATAGAGCTAGTAAATATTAAAATAGAGTCCAGCTCTGCAGTTTTAAGGCCTGGGCTCTTTGGAAAAACCTATCTGGGGAGTATACATTCTTCCCTTTATTAGCGCTCAAATTAATAGTGGAATAAGGACACCTGATCTAAGGGTGGGGGACACTAGAGAGCAGCTCTACTATGTCCTATAAGGTCACTCACTATAAGTCTTAATCAACTTGATGGCAATGAGTAATCTTGAAATAAGCTTTATATTTTAAGCAACCAAATTATCTTAAAGTGCTAGGAGCAAACACCCATGACTTTTTTTTCCTGAAGAAAATTTAAAAATGATCCTTTTAAAGGAAAATTGAGCTCAATTTTTCTAATCCACACAGCCTCTAGGTGGAGTACACAGGCATAGCACCATTTTGAAGGATTCTAACCAGTATGACTCAGCTTAAATTTCTTGGAAAAAAAATCGAAATGAATGCTCAGTAATCATGCCCCTATGCAGTGTGGTGTACCTGTGGAAGTAAGGATATTCTTGACATCAGTATCATATAAAAGTCTGGACTGTGATTCAGCTGGGTTGTGAGTGGATCCCAGTTAGAAATGGATGATAGAATTTGGTTTCCATGAGTGGCAGGTACCAACCATCCAATAAGAATAGTTCAGTCACCCCACCCTGACCAGCCTATCTTCCTGGTTCAGAGTTGACTCAAAATGGAAGGCATCACTTAAGCAATAACTGTTATTTGAGCTTCAAATGCCTAAAGCACTGGAGTAAGAAGTTGGAGTGGGCTGATAGATGGTTTCTCCTACATCCCCCATTTTTCTATGCAGTTGACAATGAAAGAGGAAAGACTGATTGTTGGGAATGGTAAATGAGCCTGGTCTCAGACATGCTCTTAGCTGCTCAATGGGAGAGTGACCAAGTGCTTTTCAATTAATCAGAAAAATTCTTTAATTTTAAAATCAAGCTAGAGAGTAACATGCCTTGCATGTAATACATATGCTTAATACAGTCATTACAACCGAATGGAAGGGTTAATTGTGGCTATCTAAAGGAGTGAGGTGGGGAAAATCAATCATAGAAATGTTAGTTTATGTGTCTGTCATTATTTAAAAGTTCATTACAATGAGCAAATACAGCTTTTATAATCTAAAAAACTAACACTCTGTAAAATACTTAGCAGAGGTTGAAAGTTAATTTTAAAAATGAAAGCAATGCTTTGCATGTCATGATTAGCACAATTATTTTAAATGCATTTTGTCAAAAATACATGTAAGTTCAAACATGCAAGCCCCTATTTGACTGAAATTAGCATCGATCAGGTTAAACTTTTTTCTCCTAAATTCTGGAAATGCAGCCCTGCCTTAACTCAATAAAAATCAAAATCAGGCAAAGAAAGGGAAGACTGACAAGTTTTCGGTTTCCAAGTTTTGTTACAGCACATAGTAAAAAGGGTTTTTTTTTTTTTGAAGTCCTCAGATGTACTCAGGCAAAAATGGTGAAATCATTTGCATTGCCATCCGGACTTTACCGTTTTATTCTACCTCACTTTCCTGTTTTTAAGTTCAGTGTGTATTCTTTATTTGTTTGCATGTGGAGTCGTTACAGTTCGATCTCACAACATGTTCCTAAAGCAAATCTTTTTAGCTCTGTAGAAGCCAATGATTAAGTCCTGGCTGTTTATCCGGGTTGCGATGCAACTTTGTAGCGTAGACACAATCTTCTTTCCGAGAGAGAGACAGAGACAGAGAGAGTGGGGGGAGAGGATTTGGGTCATCCTAGAAGAGAAATAAATGCCCGTTCGTCGGCGCGCAGCTCCGCGCCAGCATCCCCGGGCGCCCGGGCAGCCCGGCCGGGGAGGGCCCTG